TCGTTCGGATGTTGAGAAGCCGTTTTGGGTTCGCTGCTCCTCTTGGAGATGTCAGCGCCGCCCTTTTTGCGTTCTTCCAGACTCCTGCGCTCAAGCGAGACGTGGAGAGATTACAGAATCCGAGATACCGACTTCTGGCTTGTAAGTCTTAAGTGTCACCACTGTCAGGCATGTAGTCGCGCTTGATGGTTCGGGTCTGTTGCGGTTCTCAGTCGTCTTTCGAGTGTTCGCTACGTCGACTTTCGTTTCTGTGACTTGCTCTCTTCAGGGCCAGGTTTGCGGCGCTACGCCGAAAATCTGTCGTGTGCCTTCGCCGAGAGAGACCGGAAGAAGTCGCAGGCCGTGAGGCCATTTGCAGCTATACCTCCTTCCGTATCTTCAGATCTGTACGCGGCTACTGTGGACGCTTCTAGAATTTATGCACAAGGAAGCCACCTTTGGTACCTCCAGCTACGATTTAGTCTATGCTTGTAGAACGGCTGGCTATTTTTATATCCGGTGCGAGTGTGTTTTGTCTGCAGAATTTGCATGAGTTGGAGTTGGCTAGTTGACATGCTTCGTGGGCAGTTGTCTCCCGGTAGGTTCCGGCTTAACACGCGTGTGTCCTTTGTTTCCATTACTGATGAAGACTCTGCATTCCCCTGTCTTGTCCGCTGCCATTCCGACGACGGTTCAAGCGAAACTCAAGAGTAGGTGTTTAGCAAACAGTGGTGAAGCCAATTGTATTATGTGTTTCTCAGTGCCAGGAAGAAAAGGCATATCTCGTCAGGTCCTTTGTGTTGTAGTGAAGGCATCGCGCATGGTGCTCGTAAAGAACCTCGTTTTAGCTATCCTTGTGTCTTGTGGCTTCAGGCTTCGTTCGCGATTTGTTCTTGTGGCACTGCCGGTATCGCTACTTCAGCAGCCTTCAGAGAAAGACGAGGAGACGGCAGCTCGCGTAACATTCCAACCACCACTTCCAGCCGAGAAGGTAGCGGCCCTTGCGGCCATGGGCATGGGAGTCCACAATAAGGTTCGTGTCCACGTATATCTGCGAGCCTGCATATGCATCTTCGACGGGCCCTTATGTTTTGTTGCTGCTTTACTCTTTTCTGGCTGAATGGATGCTCATCAGTCTGCAAGTTAGAGCAAAAAGACAGGGCCAGGCATGTTTTTCTGTCATGCATGTAGAGCGGGAGGTAAAAGGATTCGCTGTGTGACCCTGAGTTTGGCATTTATACAGGTAGTTCTGCGGGTTGCACCCTCCGATGTTTTCTGGTCGCACTCAACTCCATCGTTCTCGTCACCGTATTCTTGTTTCCAGTACTTAAATCTTCATGCTTATGGGAAGACAGGCTGCATTTTAGCACACCTGTTTCCTCCGGCATCCGTTGCAATAGACTCTCTGACAGACAAAGAGGTAAGCCACCCGCAGTGAAGACTCTATTAGTTGGTCATTTACTTTCTCACCATCTGATTCATAGGATTAGTGGGTCTTGTTGTTAGGTGAGTTCACTGATAATAAGTTGAGAATGGGAAGATTTGGGGCTCTCAAGGGATTCGCATATTGGCATTTCTGTCTGATGATGCAACGTGCTCTCAGGTGGCTGAAGAGGTGCTTGATGACTTAAGGAAGCTCTTCGGCTATGTCCCTCGGCCAGCCCTCATAGCATCTGTTGTCACCCGGTGGCATTCTGATAAGTATTCTCGAGGATCATATTCGTACCCAGTGAGGAAAATGTGCTGCAATAAGAGGAACAGTGGTGTGGCCATTACCTTGATGTGTGAAAGCAGCTGTAGCTGCAGGAATCGGGCAGCAGTATGCCATCTAGCTACCCATAAACCGTTCTCATGCATGGCTATGTTGGCGTCTTGACTGTGTTGAGTCGCAGAAGCCTGGGGCTGACATGGCGACTCACTGGCAGTGGCTGAGGGCGCCACATCCTCTAGGAGCTCCCCGTGTAGCGTTTGCGGGGGAATTCTGTTCGGATTCTTATAACCAGTGTGTAGACGGAGCGTAGGTCTGCTGTGGCATTCTCGCTGCACCGTGCACTGGTATAGGCGGATTTTACTAATGATGGTGACGTCTCCACTGCTGTGGAGCGGTAGAAACGATTGCATTCTGGTTGCGGTGGACGGGCAGGAGTGATGGCTTTTTTGGGGAGTGGTGAGAGTCTGCCTGTGGCGATGTTTTTAGGTTTGACACTGGCATGCGAGCAGCGCAGTCCGTTGTTCAGTTTGGGCTGCGGCGCCACCCATGCACAAAAGACAGGCACGAGCAGAAGCAGAAGATGAACGGTAGCTCTGCCGTTGAAGTAGAAGAGCTGCAACAACAGCATCGGAATCGCCGGCAAAGTCGCACGATTAAGGAAACGAAATCAGGAAGTTGGCAATCGCGCACAAAGAAAAAGTACAGAAAAGAGGCTCTAGATGCCTCGGAGGCAAGAGCACGAATCGCAGCGGCTCGTGCAGAGCTTGAACAGACGAATACCAAGTACTGCGGCGACGATTGTTGCCCAATAGTTGAGTGTCCAGACAGGTAGGTTCTGCTTTGCGTATGGATGTTTCTTTGGTCCGAGACGTCCTGTGGCCCAGCGTCTTTTCGCTGTGACGGCGTATCGGCGGTTTGCGCATTTTTGCTGCTATGTGCTTAGTTCGCATGCTGGGTTTTATCTGACGGATGGAAGCGACTTGACGGACAATGATGACGGTGACGTAGAGTATGGAATACACGACGACATCGAAACTGTTTACGGGGAAAACACGCGGATGATGCTCGAAAAGTTCAAGGCTCTTCTGAGGTTCAACCGCAAGCAGCTGAATTGTTCGCAATCCAGATGTTCTCCGAAGGAGTCTGGACCAGCTGGCTTTGCGCAACCAGCGCAGGCAAGGGCCTAACTGTGACAAGTACGGACAATGCAACAGTGGAGCCTTGCCGATGCTGGTCATTGCGGGTGTGGAGCTGTTCAAGGGAGAGCTCGCACTACTGCTGGGCAGTAATTGAGATTCTGGCAGGCACATAGGTGGACTCGTGCACGGATGGTATATCTGTCTTCTAGTGCGCAGGAAGTGTGACCAGAGGGAACCAGGCACAGGATGTCTGACGGGACATTCGTACTTCACCGGGAAGCGCCAGTTGCCGAGGATTTGTACGCTCGTAGGGATATCTCGTCGAAAGACGGCAGTCTTGATAGGGAAGACTCTGCGCGCTTGCGGCCCTCTTTTCTTTTGGGGCAGCACGTTTGCGTTTTGTTTAGGCCTGCACTTACGGGCCTTCATTGGTTGTACAGAACTTGGATAAGTGGGCATCGTTTTTCTCATTACTTGCCGAGTAGACTATGGCGTCGTTTGCGTCATGTCGGGAACACATGGGTGGGGCTGCTGCGCTTGCCGCAGTTGCAGTAGGCAGGCTGCCCATCAAATTGATACGAGTAATGAGTAAAGCAAAGAACCACTATAAAGACGGCCGCCTTCTGTATTGCTTTGTCGCTTTTGGTGTAGATATTTCATCGCCCCTTCATCGCCATCTTCACATATGCTGTTTTCACCCAATATAGGTGCTTGAGAGGGTGGCCCGTGTGCGCCCGTGCATACCCATGCTACACCGGCACCGGCGGACGTCTCGCTGCGTGGGCAGCTTTGAGCATGGTTGTCTACATTGTAGAGAACCCGTAGAATCGCACCTGTTGCGTAATGGCCGATAGTGGAGGGCTCTGAGTATGTTGATGTAGTTATGTTCGTCATGGAGGGTAGGGAGCAGTTTACAGCGGTCTTCCGGTGTTTCCGAAGCGAGCTCATGCAGCGAGATTGCTTGCATAATTGCTTAGCGTTTGCGTGCGGCGGATTCCCGTTGATTGGGGTGCGGTTCTCGTCATGGCGTTGTTGTCCTAAACGACGGTCAACGGCGCTGCTCATGTGAATGGAGGTGACTGTTAAAGTAGAGGGATTTGCTTGCCGTTCATTCCAAGTAGCAGCTGCTGTTCATACCGGGCGCCTTGTAGCGATTACGCACTTGCTATTCGCCGAGCACTGTGTGTGGTTCCGGAGGGGCAACGAACACGGTGGGCTCTGCTCCAAACGAGAGATAGGCGGTGCCTAAATCAATGAAATGCTCAGTAGGGGACTTCAATATGCTCTTTGGCCGCAAAGTGAGCGAGCTTCCCTTCTGTTGCAATGCTGTGGTGGTACCATTACAAGGAACCCTTGCTGTTGCGGACCAGCACTTCCCGCACACTTCTGTTGAGCTTGCGTTGGTACTAACACATAGACTTTTGTTTAGGTTCTGCAATTCATTGCCTGGAGTCCTAGTCATATACGGGATTCGTGTTGCGCATCATTACTTCAGATGGGGCTGTGATCCTCGAAGTCGGCAGCGACCCGAACCCCCCTACCCGTAGCTTTCGCAGTGTCCGGCTAGATTCCTGTCTATTTAGAGCTTAGTCAGTTAAACAAAAGAATCATATGCGGCGTCTCGGGTGAATAGTCTCCTTTGGAACAGCACGGACTGGTATTGCATGCACGGCATGGCTTCTCAAGTTCGTGGATGGAGCCTTCAGCTTATTAAGTGATGCTGCAGAGGCATTTTCTAAGATCTTTGATTTACCGTCGATCTCCATTGCCTGTTTAGCAGAGGAGAGCCCCCTTCACAAGGTGACTTGGCACGTGTCTTGCGTATCTTTGATTTTGGCAGACTTAAGTGGCTGCCCGTGGTGGACCGCTCAACTGTGCCATTGACTGTGCAGTGTGGGTCCGACCCCTCTATTGGTAGATGCACCAGGGATTCGCTGGAATACGCGCTTACGCAGTAGCATGCAGATGTACCGCTGGCAGTGCGCATCCTGAGCTAGTGGGTTGCAGGGCTAATTCACGCCTCTTGAGAACGCGGGCGACCCTCGTAGCAGCACTTCGGCAAACTGGAGCTGTCCAGTCGGCCACTTTCCAGTAGGTGGCATTCCGCGGCTCAGCGATGCAGCTAGCTGCCTGGCCTGTGAGGCACGTAACTTGTCTACTGGGACGTCGCGATGGAGCAGTTAATCCCCATCATGAATCGCCTACAGGACGCGCTCCTCACACTGGGGAGTGCAGATGGCACAACGTTTGATCTGCCGCAGATAGCTGTCGTAGGAGCGCAGTCCGTGGGGAAGTCTTCAGTCCTAGAGGCAGTGATTGGCAAGGACTTCCTTCCCCGGGGCGCCGGTATTGTCACCAGGCGGCCACTAATTCTTCAGGTAGGAGTTCGTCATTGGCTGTACGCAAATTCTTGCGTATGTGTACATCACATTCGTTCCGTTTCTCCCTACGCCTCACTGAACTAACGAAAGATTTACTTCAGCAGAATTGTCCAGAAGAATATTTCTTGTGCGACTTTTGCGGCACCTACGCTGCAGCTCCAGCATACAGCTGGGACGGCGGAATGGGGAGAATTTAGTCACTCTCCTGGGCATCGCTTTACAGACTTCGCTCAGATCAGAAGGGAAATAGAAAGGGAAACAGAAAGGGTGACAGGCCGTTCCAAGAATATCTCACCTATTCCTATTTGCCTCAAGATTTTCTCCCCGAACGTTATTGACTTGACTCTGGTAGATTTACCAGGCATTACAAAAGTGCCAGTTGGGGATCAGCCTTCGGATATCGAGGTAACAAGTCCTTCATCCATGGCGTCTTTATCCCGTGCGTGTCTCTCGCTGTGGGGCATGCGCATCCTCACGTGCCAAATCTCCTAAATGGAAATAGTTACGCACAAATAGGTTTTTCTGGCGCCTCCAGAACTCTCTGTTTCGGAGCCCCTCCATGCAGAACGGGCGGACCCTTTCGTTTTTGATGCAGCTGCAAATCCGCAAGATAGTCCTGCAATATATAAGTCAACCTTCCTGTGTGATCCTTGCCATCACTGCGGCAAATACCGACATCGCCAACTCTGACAGGTTGGTGATGCTTCTCATGTGCAACATTTCTTTTGGCTGTACTCTGTTTGCTTCTACTGGCTTCCTTCGCTGACTGCCTTCGTCGTTCGTTCTTGTTACCATTGTGTAGAGCATCTCACTGTTTTTGGGTTTATACTCTGGTAACCCTTCTTTGCACACCACGTGTCGCTGCGTCGGTTGGTAGAGAGCTGCAAGTTTCGTGAGTTGTTTGGGCGATTGCACTGGAGCTTTTGATTACTAGTCTGCATCGCTCACACTTTTTTAACCTGGTGAGGCTATTCGCGATATGCTTTGTGCCTATTTGTAGTCTCAAGATCGCCCGTGAGGCAGACCCGGAGGGCAGAAGGACAATCGGTGTCGTTACCAAGGTTGACACCATGGAGGAGGGCGCTGATTGTGCTGACGTTCTCCTAGGGAAAGTATATCCATTGAGACGGGGGTAAGCACAATAAGAGTCTATGCAAAACTTTCATTTTTCTTATTTCTTGCTGCTGACGCCGAATCTTATTCCGCCAGTGAGTCTGCGCAAAAGCTTCTTGGCAAACAAAAGTGCTGGCGCTGTTCTCCTACCCTGTTGCCTCCATACTGCCCGTTTTGAGCTCAGGTTTGTTGGCGTAGTGTGTAGAAGCCTCGCCCAGACGCGTGAACAGCTTTCTCCCAGAGCTGTACAGGAAGAGGAGGCAAAGTTTTTCCAGAACCATCCAGCCTACAAGGTCTTGGGGGCTCGTTGTGGCACTCGATACCTTGCGAAGATGCTGAATCAGGAATGTCCACGAACCCAACCTCGCGGTGTCGCCCCGTTGCAGGATCTATCGTTGTTTGTTCGGCGGTTGGCGTGTCCCACGACCCAGCAATTCGTGCGGCTGCTGCCGTCGCAGTTTTCGCCATCGAAGCGTATTTGCTCGGGTTTTTTTTCGTTTTGCCTCAGGTGCTAATGCAGCACATCAGAGAGTCGTTGCCAGAATTGCGCGAGCGGCTCCAGAAGAGACTCCAGGAGGCAGAAGCGGAACTGGCGGGCTACGGAGATCCACTGCTGGAAGTCAAGGGGAATGCTGGGGCTTTGCTCTTGCACTTCTTTTCAAAGTTTGCACGTAATTTCCAGGTGGAGTATTCTTTTTCCGCTTCCCACTGGGAGTTTCCTGCTTGGGGTGAGGGGTGAATAGGAAGATCAGTGAGAAACACTTACGATGAGCAGACGATTACCCATGTCTATGTCGGGTTTTTTTCTTGGCCATTTACTGCTTCCGCAGGATGCAATTGATGGAAAGCTCCAGTCTCAGCATTCGTCGGATCATTTGATGGGCGGTGCTCGTATCAATTTTATCTTCCATGATTGGTATGGCCGGGCTCTGGCCGAATTCGACCCGCTTAGTGGCCTAACAGACCACGAAATCCGCACAGCCATACGGTAAGGGCTCTTGCTCTCGCGTTTACGTTTCCTAAAGAGTAGGTTGCGTGAGTCGAACTTCTGGAGCCATTCAGAGCACTTTGTGGTTAGCAGTTTCTGTGGGTGTCGAAATCATCAAGCCCTGAGCAGACAGGAGACTTATATATGGCACCATACGCAAAACAGCGTGGAATTGTTTTTTGACCGATGGGGACATGGAACACAAAACTTTTGACTCGTTGTACTGTGGCCAGCAGTGTCTTGTGTGGTTCTTTATGTCTTCCACCAGAAATGCGACCGGGCCCAAAGCTGCCCTCTTTGTACCGGAAAGCGCATTTGAAATTCTCGTGAAGAAACAAATTCAGCAGTTGGAAAGCCCTTCTTTGCTTTGTGTGGAGCAAGTACGACATCCTCTCTTGTCTGTACTCAAGCAGCAGCAGCAAGCACCAGCTTTATTTTTCACTCGAAGGGGAGCTGTGCAGCAGGTTTTGGAGAATGTCGGTGCCTTTTCAGGTGTACGATGAGCTGCAGAAGATAGTCGAAAAATCTGAACTACCGGAAATGTCAAGATTCACGAATTTAAGAGACCGCATTTTGGAAGTTGTTTGTGGCGTTTTAAAGAGATGCCTTGCGCCAACAAACCAAATGATTCATAATATAATCCAAGTGAGTTCGTGCTTAGGCCGTCCAGCCACAGGCAATTTGACGTGCTAGGTACGTTAAAGCCGTGCTTATTGTGGCTTACTGTGCAGATCGAGCTTGCGTACATAAATACCAACCATCCGGACTTTATGAGCAACAAAGCTCTTCCGGGCCTCTTTGGCGATAACGCCAGTGGGAGACGCGACTCATGTTGTAGGAAAATTGGACGTATTCTCCGTTCTGCATGAATTGTGTTCTGCTCATGGCTAAAGAAACAGAAATTCGCAACGAATTTTTTGTTTAGAGTCCTGCAAATGAACAGTGGCTGATAGAAGCATGTACTTTTTTGTGGAGGCATGATTTCTACGTGGTTGCAGCGCCGGGTCTTGGGAGCTCTTTACAGCCTCCACAGCATCAGCAGCAGCCAAGTGGAAAGCCCGCAGCACCTGCAGATAAAGACCTACCGCCATCACCTCGGGGAGAGTTTGTATGTCCCCCTTCTCTTTTTGTGCCTCCACACATGACCCTGGTTGTCTCGCACTGTACGTTGACACAGTTGTATTCAATTGGCTTTGAAGAGTATTAACGTAAATGGCGGCGTGTGACGTTTTGTAGGGCGTTGGAGGTGTGTTACAACAAGGCGGTTTCTTCAGCTTTTTGAAGAATTCTAGACCGTCTCCTCACGGGGGCAGGCACAATGCTGCCAATATGGTGCAGCCGGCTCCACAGCAGCCGCAGCAGATGCTACATCCAAGCATGCAGCAACCTCATCCACAGCGCTCGGACATGGCCAATACAGCTGAGAGATTCACGGCAGAGCGTGAGCACTAGAAAGCGACGCACATATTTGCTTAGCACGTGCGAGTTTTTGTATTTTGGGACGGGCGCCTCCTGCATTGGAAACGGCGTTTACTGAGGTGGTGTCATTTTTGTTCTTTGCTTCTGGAAAATGCGGCTCTCCGAGTGCATGTTTTGTGTCGAACTGCAGCTCGTCTTACCGCCACGTTTGACAAGCTTCGGGTAAATAAATGCAGCGCATCCTTTTTTCTCGCGCATTCTATTGCCTGTCTTCGCCCTTTTAGCTTTGCTTCAAAGCACCAAAGATATACTTTGACATCCAGAGCTTAGCATTGAGCGAGTGCCTGCACTAATAATCTGCCCGCAAATACAGTATAGCAGTGCCAGGCAGAGTTTTCCACAGGACAGTCAATGTGTGTGGCTTTCTTTTCATTTCAGGGAGGTGGAGGTATTCGCATGCCCGCTGTTCCGCCCGTTGTCGCTCCATCAGACACCCCATCTGACCGGGAACAAATTGAAACAGAGCTCATAAAGTCTCTGTTGTGGTCGTACTTCCAAATTGTTAGGTGCGTGGATGCCATTACATTGAGCGGCTCGGCCTCTGCTTAGAGTGACGTTTACTGTGAGAATGTGCATCCAAATTTCACATGTACGGTTTCGCGGGATTTGTTGTTTCTCCCACTTGCATCAAAGTGCATGTTTTAGAGATCTATGCGGCGCTTTGCATTCGAAAGCCCATGCACAGGGCAGCTGTTAGAGGGCCTGTCAGTCAATGAGACTGATTGAGGCTAAGCTTGTGTTCATGCTTTTGTGCGTAATGAAGGTGCATATATATTGTGTCAAGGTGCATGTTTTAGATATCTCTGGCTGCTCTTTGTATTCGGAAGCCCACAGTGCAGCTGTTCGAGGCCTGTCTGTCAGTGAGACTAATTCGGGCCAAGCTTGTGTTCACACACCTGTGCACAATAAATGTGCAGATATCTTGCGCCAAAGCGCATATTTCAGAGATCGATGGCTGTTAGAGTGCTGCCATTCACTGAGACTAATTCAGGCTAAGCTTGTGTTCATACTTTTGTGCGCAATAGAGGTGCAGATATCTCACGCAAGCTTGTAGCGCAGGCTTGTTGCTCAAGTAAGTGCACTGGAGTGTCATTGCTCTTGCGCGAGTTTACGGGCGGATTTGCATCGTACATGGTAATTTCAAGGCTAGTCCTGTTTTGTTGTCCGTCTTGCAGGAAAAATGTTGCAGACGCAGTACCAAAAGCAATCATGTACTTTATGGTAAATACCGCGAAGGATGTGCTGCAGAGAGAGCTGGTAGCTCAGCTTTATAGAGAAGGTTAGGCTGGTGTGCTTCCCCAAGTTCCTTGTCTTTTTGAATGCAGATCCACCTCCTTACGCGTTGATTTGCTTGGCCATGTTCAAGCAGTTCTCTATGAATGCGTTCAATGCATTTGCTTTGCTGTGCATGTGTTACTTTGCAGAGCTTTTCGGAGAGCTTATGAAGGAGGCTGGGGATATTAGTGCGAAACGACAGCAATGCAAGCAATTGTTGAAGTGAGTGGCTCAGTGGAACATCTTCACTTCTGTGTAGGCGCCTGTTGAAATTAATTCGACGATTCCGCATCCGTTGCTTAGTGATTTTTGCATATTGCCTCGATCCAGCATCCAAGGTGCCTGAGAGTGCCTTCTCTGATTCGGCCCCTGCAGCCCCCGTAGCCCTTCCCACCCAGAGGCACATGGGGTTTGGTGCTAGCAGCACTTGAAAATTTCGACTGCCGTTATGTTTCCTTCAGTGGTTCTTATTTTCTCGAAAATAAAGTACTGCTCTTAATTGCGAAGATCAGTGTGTTGTCCTCGGTATTGTCGCAGGTCGATAAGGAGTGCGCTGGATATTGTTTCCAACGTCAGGGAGCTTGGGTCAGAGGATGGGTTGCCATCTCGTCGACCATTCTAGCCTTAGCCTTTTGGGTGTTATGCAAGACGCAGTCACGAGACTTTGTGGCATAGTTACATCGTACACAGACGAGGTAACTCTGCAGAAGTCTAGAAGGGGCGGGGCTGAGACTCTCAACTGAGTGCTGAGCGCCCCTGACGGCTGCGTTGTTCTGCGGCCTATTCCCATTGCTGTCAAAGTTTGTATTTGTTTGGCCTAGAAAACTCGTTCAAAGCGCTTTCCGTACTGCATACCGTGAATAGGTCTGTTTGGTATTACGAGCGTTTGAGCAGCTTCTGCTCAGGCGCGTGTTGAACAGGACCCTGTGTTCCGTGGGACTCTACTCTGTGTTGCCCAGCACGTAGCACAGTTTAGCACTCGCCAGATCCTTCATACTAGCGACTATCTTCAAATGAAAGCAGCAGCCTACTGTTGTTTACACAGAAGCCGATGAGTTAAAGCGATTAGTGTTAACCATTTTCAGTTCCACTGCAAGGGGGCTTAGGAGAAAAGGCCGCTTTTTTTCAACAAAACAAGATGACAAACCCACAGTGTATGGCTATTCTTGTTAAATTCTGGGTGTTTGGTTGACCATGTATTATCTCTGCACACGACGTCGTGTTTTCTGTGGCTTGTTATTAATAAATCTCACAATTAGACACCACCTGCCAGCTGGCATGCTTATACTGCTGATCCTGGCCCATTCATCCCCTGAAAACAAAAGTTACAGAGTGACTGGCTGGGGAGCGCTTCTATGGGCTTGGTTCTTCAGTGGTCCCTACGCGACACACTATTGAACAAGAGAGTACCCGTTCCCATCATTAGTGCAACCAGTAGGCCAATTTGAGCCACTTGCGACAGCAGCTCCCTCCTCTTGCCACACTCTGTGACATTGTCCAACAGTAGCATGCTTTGATGTGGTCGGAGCAAGGGGTGGAGTGACAGTTCTTGTTTGCTCAGCAGCCTCTGTAAAAGTCTCTTCTCCCGTAACTGAAGCAGCTGATGATTCATTTTGTGCAAATGCTCTCGTAGTTTGTCGAGGTGCCTTTGCATCCGTACAGTGTTGCCGGTGTTGGGCTGGCTGTTAGTCTGCAATAGACGCAGGCCAACAAGAGCTTCCACCTGTTGCTGCTGCTCCCGTTGCTGCAACTCTTCATCCTCCCAGTGCTGCAAAAAACACAGCTTATGTGGTCGATTTGAATGTATCTGCTGCTGGAAGAGGAATGGCAAAAAGCACTTATATTCTGCCCTCCGGCGCAACAACAATGCAAATGCTTCTGCCGGCTTTCGCCGCAGGGCGAAAGGTATCGCAGCGGATGTGCCCCCTCTGTCACTTTCCTCGCAGCCAGCGCATGGAGGCAACTCCTTATCCATGCCGCTACCCACTGGCAATTTCAGCACAAGTGGAAGTTGTACGGCACTGAGGCAAGGTGAGCCACCTTCGAAGCCCTTTCTGCTGGAACTTTTCGGGCCCCCTGTTGGTGGCTTCCTTTCCAACATGTCTCTCACAGGGCTCTCCTCACATCCATCAAGAAAAATTTGTTTTTGCGTACTGTTCTCACACTGGGTGCTTTTTCTTTTTCCATCGCCATCCGCCTCAAAAGCTTTCTGTTCCCGGATAGACGAGCAGAAGGCGTCTGCGCACTCCTCAGAGCTGCCTTTCACTGCGAAGCAGAGGAATCTGCGCAAAATGGAAGGTTCCTCTTCACGCCGTAGGGGACCGGAATACCTTATTTGCTCATCCTGTGCTCGTTGCTGGGAGTCGGTGCGAGCGTCAAGTTCATGTGCAACTGAACGCAGTGGAACCAGCATGCCGTCTTGAGTTACCAAGTCACACGCTGCAAGTTGAAGGCCAAGGATCCACCTACTGCATAAAAAAACATAGTTTCCCGCACAACCAAGACTGTGGAGAGAGCCATCGACCATATCAGTCTTAGAAACATTGGTTGGTAGAATTCAGCTCTGCTGGTAACGCAGATGCGGCCGTACTCGCGCAGCATTTGTTCTTGAGGTGCATTTTGTTCCACTATGATTAGGGGAAGCAGGCTTGTCACAGCATGGAGGCGCTTCAACAAAGCCAAAAGCCCAGCTGAGAGAGGTAAGGTAGAGCGCGAGATGAGGAAAAGACAAACCTGGACCTGAGGCACACATCTCATCCACTAAACAGTTCAGTGGCTTTTGAGGAGCCAAATTCCAGTAGTCTACCAGCTTACGCTGTTTTGGTTTACTTTGATGCAAAAGAACATGTGACTTGCTGCAGCATCAAATCCGGGGGAAATTTTGGGCGACTGCCTGCAAGGCAACGCACCCTTCGTTCGGCTCCCTCTTGCTGCAGGGCTTTGCCTCTTCCGCATTCATCCAGAAGGCGAAGCTCGCAATAAGTCAGAGTGGAAGAAAGGCTAGTGACAGCAATAACGGGCACTGCAAGAGCCCCAATAAACTCACAATATACAATCGCGAGTGGTGAATTTCTACATGACGGCGAGCAGGCACTGCCATGAGTTCAGGTGAATACACTAAAAAAAAGCGGACCTTCCGCGAAACGAACAGTTTTTGGAGGCCGGAAAATAAATTCCACCCTGCAAGATATACGCTGGCGACGGACTTCCTCCCACTGAGCCAAAACAAACAGCCGAAACAAGCGCAATGCCTACCAGACAGCAAATTTTTCAAGTGTGAAAGAACCTCGTGAATGACTGTAGATAGCTGTATTACGTGGGGGAGCTATTTACGCTTGAAGGAAAGAAGTAAAATGAAAAGGGGCAAGTGGTAACACTGTGGCTCACATCAGAAAACATATGTTTGCATACTCTTTCCGCTTCTATCCCAGAAAGGGCCGTGACGAGAATATTCAAGCTGATGCCTTTTCTCTGCAACTTGCGGCGGCATTGATTTTCCAATTGCTGCTGCGCCTGACCCAGAGTCAACAGTGCGTCAAACAAAACAGCTGGCACATGGGGTAAAAGTGCTGCGTTGCCGACGGCATTGAGAGAGCAGTCGTTAAGCAGCCACATGCGTGAGTCATTGCTTCTGATTGTCCCAAGCTGGTAGGCTGCAGCACTGTGACTCTTGGGGCGCCGCAGGTCTGCATACGTCAATACATCGTGCCATGAGGACAATCACTGAGCCGTTTCGCCTACAATGCATGTTGATGCATTAGACACCATGGCACAGTTAACGGTGCATCTATGAGACAAACAGTGGAGGCTGCAAAGGGAAAGGTGTCTCTGAAAGGCAATGACAGACATCGCACAAGTATGCTCGCTTGTGAACAGGGCACTACGACTTCACGGAGACCTGTGCAATGACACGACGTGCCGTGTCGAAATTTACGACATGTACAAATATTATTTCTGCAGTTAAGGGCCACAGCACTCATTGTATGCCATGCTTCGTTTACAAGCCGCTCCAGCAAATTGTCGGGCTAGTTGCACGCAACACTCGCGCGATATCTCCGCTAAAGATGCGAAGACGCAACGAACAAATTAGCTGCGCAGTTGCGAGACTATGTCGAAATGAATGAATACAAGCTGACACGGCGCAGTAGAAGACGTCGAAGTTGCTCTGCAGATGTGCGGAAAATTCCGCGCCTTGGTGGATCGGCACTCTCTGTAACTGAGCGTGAAGCCTGCGCCTCAGCAGAACGCAATATTAGCAAGAAAGCATGGCACTTTCACTTTGACAAGAGCGTAGGCCAACGTAGGAGACAGGATAATTCAAAGTCACGAAGGGCAGCGTGTGGCACTCCGGAAGTGCCGGTCAAGCGTTAAGCCAGCTAGAATGAGACATGCGCTGACCGAAGCGTGCCTCAGCAGCATTTATCTTTACACTGAAAATAGTATGGAGAACTAAGCGCACCTCGAAAGCTACATATGGGTGGTGTGGAGACACTGTCATAGGCTTCTGGCGAAGAGTTGGTGTTTTCTGTGGGGTGCTGCTGTGGTGTTTCACAGCATCACCAGCATTGGCGCATGTTTTGTGAAAATACGACTGAGTCTTCTCTCCCAGTGATTGACCTGAGACCTCTTTGTTTGAGCTGGCTGGTGACGCAGGGGAAGAAGGGAAACTCCCGCTTCTTTGGTATTCGCAACTGCAGCTACTCAGACTGCCATTCGGCGAATCAAGCGGAGTGAGCTGCCATTGTCCGCACCAACCGCTACGTACAGCAGGTGTTGTCTCCGTAACTAGGTTAGCCCCAACTGTAGACACAGCCGCTCCTGGAGTTCCCCAAAAGCATGCTCCGCAACATAGCCGAGCTCATGAGTTGCATTACAGCACTACCTCTACAAATGTTTCTCTCACCTGCGGCAGCAAATGCTGCACCAGCTGCCCCGCTTGCCGTTGAAACGGTGCTGCTCTTGCGCCCATTCCACCGCAAAGCGGATTTGAGACCTGCGTACCTCCACCGCCATCCCCTCATTTGCTGCTCATGAGAAAGCCGCAGCAGGCGTCGTGTCTTGCATCATGGGGGATCAGCAACAAACTCAAACCCGGCAGAGGGCGAACTCCCTCCATCATTGCTCCCAGATGTTTGTTTAGTCTCCTGTCCAAAGTGAAATTTTTTCGGAGCTGCTCCAATTCGTTGTTCCTTTGGTGTGTACGCTTTTGTTTGTTCAGTCTCGTCGCTGCACATGTCTTCCCATCTTTCAGAGTGTCCTGTTATGGCGCAGTTAGCGTGAGCAAATTCGGAGCCTCAGTAAGTGCAGTACTACAGCACACATGAATAAAATGCTGAGCTGCAGGGAGTGTATGTGTGTCAAAAGAAGAGTGGAGGCGTACCAGTGTCATTGAGAGCTTTCATTCGTGATTTTTTGCCTGGGAAAAGGAGAACAGGTTCCACATGGCACTTCCCGTGATGTTATAGGCAACCCCTCAGAAAAGCCATCTTCCGCTAATTGTTCTGTGAGGCATGACCACTAAAGATCGGCTGAAGTGCTGCCGACTGATGATTCTTTGCGGGGGATCTGGTGGCAGGTGACTTACCTAACTGGCTCACAGGACTTCGAGGCCCTTGCTGAAGG